GAGCTACTGCAAAATCAGTCATACTTTTAATTACAGGTTCCGTTCACATTTTCATGGACAATATTTCCAAACTTTTTCATGACTTTTCAAGGACTCTTCATGAAGAATTTTCTTTTTCTTTCCCCACTTGCCTGTCTTTTTTCAAACATTAGATTCAAACTCTATGTAAACATAATTGGCACACAGGAAGGGAGAGACAAACTGAGGGAGAATATGACAAAACACACCTGATGGTAAACAAACATTGTCACACATCGACGCATATTAAAGCTACATTAAGACGCCAGCTACAGAAAATGAATTTGCCATTATGTTACATTATATGGAGGGTTATCCACTGAAGATGATTCTAATAATTTCACTATACACAAACAAGTTCTGTGACTTATAATGATTTTGACTAATTTCATGACTTCTCCAGGTTTTCCATGACTCTTGCAAGTATAAAATTCATTCAGACTTTAAAGCAGTCTCCTCCTTTTGTTCTTTATCTCACTAGTTGAACTTTTCCAGACCTGTAATTTCAATTAAAATTCAGGATTTGGACTTCATTCCCCACTTTTCTTAGCATGCTTTATGGAACAGGCCTCTGAAAGCTCTGCCACATGTTTTGCATGTAAACAGTCTCTCTTCTGTATATGTGTGACTTCAACTGGAACCTCTGTGCTCAAGTCATGCACCTTTACACCTGTGTGCGTCCTCATGTGGACTGTCAAGTTATTGCTAGATCTGAAGTGTTTCCCACATGTTTTGCAAGTATATGGCTTCTCACCCGTGTGAGTCCTCATGTGGACTAACAAGTGGCCATTATGTCTGAAAGCTCTCTCACATACTTTACAAGTATGTGGCTTCTCACCTGTGTGGATCATACAATGCCTTTTCAATAATGATGTGCCAATGAATCCTTTCCCGCAGGTCTTGCAAGTATATGGCTTCTCACCTGTGTGAGTCCTCATGTGGACTAACAAGTAACCATTATGTCTGAAAGCTGTCCCACATACTTTACAAGTATATGGCTTCTCACCTGTGTGAGTCCTCATGTGGACTAACAAGTGACCATTTTGTCCGAAAGCTCTCCCACACACTTTACAAGTATGTGGCTTCTCACCTGTGTGGGTTCTCATGTGCCTGGTCAATTCGGACACATCCCTGACTCTTTTCCCACACGTTTTGCAAGAAATCGGATTCTCACCTGTGTGGCTGTTCCGGTGTCTCTGCAATATTGACTTATATTCAAAAACTTTCCCACATATGTCACATTTTAAAGGCTTTTTACCTGTATTTAAGTTTATCACAGCAGAGGTGTGTGGACTGTTACTATTCATTTCACTTTCATGATGTCTTTTCTCTGCTTGAAGCTCTGTGTTTCTAGTTGATCCTGAGTCTCCATGCTGGTATTCTTCCTCATCTTGGCTCTCAGCTACATGAGAGTTGTGACAGAGCAGCTGGTGCTCACTGGTTGCTTCTGATATCACAGAGCTTATAACTGGCATTTTAAATACAGACTCTTTCTCTGCTGCACTTTGAGTGTCATCATGAATGACATATTCAACTGGAACCTCTGTGCTCAAGTCACGCACCTTTACACCTGTGTGCGTTCTCATGTGGCCTGTCAAGTTACTCCTAGATCTGAAGTGTTTCCCACATGTTTTGCAAGTATACGGCTTCTCACCT